TTTCAATTTTGATTTCTTCTCTTACCCAGTCTTTCTCAAGGAGGGTGTTGTTTAGTTTCCATGTGTTTACTCTTTTCCTGTTGATCTTCCTATTGTCGATTTCTAATTTGATACCATTATGATCTGAGAAGATGCTTTGCAGTATTTCAGTGTTTTAAAATTTTTATGGCTTGCTTTCTGGCATATGGTCTATCAAGGAAAATGTTCCATGTGTAGTGGAGAAGAACGTCTATTGTGTTGCTTTTGGGTGAAGTGCTCTGTAGATGGCTGTAAGTCCATGTTGGTGGATTGTATTGTTTAGCTCTTCTGTCTCTTTGTTGATTTTCTTTCCAGTTGTTCTATCTTTCAATGAAAGTGGTGTATTAAAGTCACCCACTATGACTGTAGAGTCATCTAGTTGGCTTTTCATTGATCTTTTAAAGTCTGATTTATGTATTTTGGGGCTCTTTCATGGGGGTCATAGATATTTATTATGGTTATATCTTCATGTTCAATTGATCCTTTAATCATTATATAATGTCGTCCCTCGTCTCGTTGGATGGTTTTTGTCTTAAAGTCAGTTTGGTCAGAAATTAATATGCCACTCCTGCTCTCTTACAGTTGCCATTTGTTTGATTTATTTTTTTCCAACCTTTAATTTTTTTAGTCTACTTTTGTCTTTATCTCTAAGGTGTGTCTCTTGTAGGCAGCATATTGATGAATTTTGTTTTCTTATCCAATCTGCAGCTCTCCGTCTCTTGAGTGGTGCTTTTAATCCATTAACATTTAGTGTAATTATTGACATGTATGAATTTGTTGCTGTCATTTTGTTATTTGTATTTTCATGGTGTCCTTGGTTTCTTTGTTCCAAATAATTTTCTGTGCTGAGCTCATTATGTTTATGAATCGTGTTATCATTTCCTTTGTTGCAGTTGTTTTAGTATATGTTGAATATTTGTGCTTGTTCCCTTTTTTTTATTGTGATGTGAAGTTTCATCATTTTTCTTTACGCATACCCTATCATTTATAATTTTCTCCCTGAGTTTAGAACAGTGCATTCTATCTTTAAACTTTCTTAATTTCCTCACCATTTAGAAGTTCTGTGATTACACAGTCTTTTCCCTCTTTTTGTTTGTAGTTGTCCTCACTTGCTGATGATGTCTCTGGTTCCCTGTTTACAATCATGTAAGCCCATTTTACTTTGGATAGGTCTTTAGGTTTTGGGGTTATGCCGTCTTGTGTATTAATGGTCAGTTGTTATTTGCTAGTTTTGGTTCTCTGTTCAAAGGACTCCCTTTAGCATCTCTTGTAAGGTTGGTCTGGTTTTAACAAATTCCGTTAGTTTCTGCTTA